ACTAACCCCGGACTGACGCTGTTTTCCACAGAACTACCATGGTGTTGTTTTTCTGCAGAAATAGAAGTTCTCAGAATCGAACAAAATTTGTGAGGATTTTTTATATCAAAAATAAGAATTTCTAGAGCCAAGACCTGCAGGAGAGGGGCACCTGGGTGGGCACAACCCACCAGGGCGCACCCCCCTCCCCTAGCGTGCCCAGGTGGGTTGTACCCACCTGGTGGCCCCGCAGACGACCCCCCTGATAATATAAAATCACATATTTCCAGAAAAAATCAAGGAGAAAGAATTATCGCGATCCACAAGATGGAGCCGCCGGCAAGCCCTGTTCTTCCTCGGGAGGGCAGATCTGGAGTTCGTTTGGGGCTCCGGAGAGGGGGCCTTCGTTCTTCGTCATCACCAACCCATCTCCATCGCCAATTCCATGATGCTCCCCACCGGGATTGAGTAATTCCTTCATAGGCTCGCTGGTCGGTGAGGAGTTGGATGAGATTCATCATGTAATCGAGTTAATTTTGTTAGGGCCTCATCCCTAGTATCCACTATGTTCTTAGATTGATGTTGCCATGACTTTGCTATGCTTAATGCTTGTCACTTTGGGCCCGGGTGCCATGATTTCAGATATGAACCGTTTATATTATCATCATTATATCCATGTTCTAGATCCCATCTTGCAAGTTATACTCACCTACTACGTGTTATGATCTAGCAACCCCGGAGTGATAGAAATCGGGACCACTCCCGGTGATGACCGTAGTTTGAGGAGTTCATGTATTCACTATGTGGTAATGCTTTGTTCCGGTTCTCTATTAAAAGGAGGCCTTAATATCCTTGAGTTTCCAATATGGACCCCTCTACCACGGGAGGGTAGGACAAAAGATGTCATGCAAGTTCTTTTAATAAAGCAAGTATGACTATTTACGAAATACATGCCTACATTATATCGATGAACCGGAGCTAGCGTCGTACCGCCCTAGGTTATATCTGTCACATGATGAATATCATCCAACGAGTCACCGATCCAATGCCTACGGATTTATCATATATTGTTCTTGCTAAGTTACTACTATTGCTACTTCTATCGTTACTGCTACAATATCACTGCTATCGCTGTTACTGTTACAATATCACTGCTATCGCTGTTACTGTTACTGTTGCTGCTGCTACTATCATCAAAACTATCATACTACTATGCTACTAATCACTTTGCTGCAGATAATTAATCTTCGAGTGTGGTTGAATTGACAACCCAACTGCTAATACCTTCAAATATTCTTTCGCTCCCCTTGTATCGAATCTATAAATTTGGGTTAAATACTTACCCTCGAAAACTGTTGTGATCCCCTGTACTTGTGGGTTATCAAGATCTTTGTTGGTCGAAGCACAATGTCAACATACGTTATTCCCTTTGTCATCGGTATGTTACTTGCCAGAGATTCGATCGTTGGTATCTCCATACCTAGTTCAATCTCATTACCGGCAAGTCTCTTTACTCGTTTCGTAATGCATCATCCCGCAACTAACTCATTAGTCACATTGCTTGCAAGGCTTCATGTGATGTGCATTACCGAGAGGGCCCAAAGATACCTCTCCGATACTCGGAGTGACAAATCCTAATCTCGATCTATGCCAACCCAACAAACACCTTCGGAGATACCTATAGAGCATCTTTATAATCACCCATTTATGTTGTTACGTTTGATAGCACACGAGGCATTCCTCCGGTGTACGGGAGTTGCATAATCTCATAGTCGGAGGAATATATATATATGACATGAAGAAAGCAGTAGCAATAAAATTGAACAATCATTATGCTAAGCTAATGGATGGGTCTTGTTCATCACATCATTCTCCTAATGACGTGATTTCGTCCATCAAATGACAACACATGTCCATGGCTTGGAAACTTAACCATCTTTGATCAACGAGCTAGTCAAGTAGAGGCATACCTGGGACATGGTGTTTTGTCTATGTATTCACACATGTACCAAGTTTCCGGCTAATATAATTCTAGCATGAATAATAAACATTTATCCTGATATAAAGAAATATAAAATAATAACTTTAGTATTGCCTCTAGAGAATATTTCCTTCATATTATAGCTCGAATATCCATCCATGTTCCTTAAGCGGGCGAACTCTTATTCCTCTCTTTTGAAGAGGTCGGACAGTATGACTGCAATCGCTGCCTAGTTATCAGTCCCCTTACGTTTATAACGGGGATGCATCCTTTGTTGAAGTCGTTGAACGCATCGAATAATGGCAGTGGCCATCACATCAATAATTGTTAACTTATTGTGAGCTAGCAACCTCGCCTTAGCGGCAGACGCTGTACTTCGGCAATTTCCTTTTGAGAAGTGCGTTTTGGCCGCCAGTTGAAATGCTTCTTTAAAGGAGCATCTGAATATTCGGGCAGACCCCGCTGAGCTGGCTCGAATAGGGGGACGTCTTCAATGTAAAACCACTCCGAGGTCCATTCTTCGGATTCCTTTTTTGGGGTCCCAATAGGGTACCCCGTCCCGGCTATGCGCCATACCTCGACTCTGCCTACTTAAAAGATTGAGTCTCCACGAGTGCTGGAGACAAGGCAGAAGTACTTTCTCCATAATTCAAAGTGGGCCTCGGAGCCCAGAAACATCTCACAAAAGGGTAATGTAGATCGAGATATGCAGAATAGATCTGGGGGTGAGGTGGTGGAGCTGGATTCCATAAAACTCTAGCAATCCCCTTAGAAAAGGGTGGATGGGAAAGCCCAAGCCTCGAAAGAGGAAGGGTACAAAGGATACTCCTCCTTACGCTGAGCATGAAAATTTTCTATGAAGGCCTCGCCGTTCAAGGAAGTCAATCCGGGGCAAATGGATGCGAGATATGAGGCAGGGACATATCCTTGCGTCTCGAGTTTGCTTAGCTGTAGACGGGAAACTGTGCAGGTTGCCTAGTCGCCCGGGAGGGCGCCATGAGGGCGTGAGGAGCTTGGGACACTTGCCATTTTTCCAGAGTCTTTGGTTTCTCGGTTTTCTCGATTTGGGGATGGAACGTGCTACCTTTTGTGCTCCTGGCCTGGTTAATAAATACTTCCTCCCTGGCCCGTAAGGGTGGATTTTGTAAAAGAACTAATGGTCTGTCCGCCTCCTTCTGGCACACTAAAATCGAGGGGTATCATTGACCGTATATGAAAATTAATCCTATGGGCCCCGCGACGCCTCGACGAACTAGGAGTCACTAGTGTCCTAACTATGGTGGGCCGGACATTGAAGGGGGGAGGAACTCGCCCTGCAAGCCGGATACTTCAGGCGTGAGAGGTATCCAAGGTTATCGGATATCGGTGTTGGAGGCTAGTTCGGGGGCTACTGGGGGAATCCGGGACTAAGGGGTCCTCGAGCCGCCGGCCTATCTCTTGTGGGCCGGATAAGTCGGCCGTTCTGTGACTACCATTTGAAGGCCGATATATAGGACGACTCCGTGTTCGGAGGAAAACCTTTGAAGCCTTTGTGTGTGCACCAAGTCAAGATAGAAGAATCGACATGTTTATCCCCCGACTATTTGTAACCCTAGGTACCCCTAGTGTCTATATAAATAAGAGGGTTTAGTTCGTGGAGGCTAGAAGAATCATCATCCTACTCACCTAGGGTTTTATTCATCTGATCTCGTGGTAGTTCGACTCTGTAACCATCATATACACATCAATACAATCAAGCATGATGTAGGATTTTACCTCTTTGAGAGGGCCCAAACTAGGGAAAACATTGTCCCCTTCCTCTCATGTTCCCCATTGATCCAAGATCCACAGCTCGGACCCCCTACACGAGATCCGTCGGTTTTGACACCAACAGGGAGGACTCCTCCTTCCCCCCTTGATGGGCGCAAGGGGAGGGGAGTCCTTCCCCTCCTCTTTGCAGCCCCTCCACCCCTCAAACTTGTATATACTAGAGGCTTTTCACCTTTTGTACACACAAGTTTTGGAGCCACCTCTAGTTGTACTTGGTCCCAGTTGATCAATAAGAGCTAGATATAGATCCTCTAATCCTCATAATTAGAAGCCCGGTGTGGTCCAATCTCCTCCCTCTAATTCTTCGGCGACAATTAGCTCTTGACGGTGAAGCGCTGTCAGATCGTGAAGCCATACGCTTGTAACTCGTAGAGAGTCGTGCTTTCGGTCTTCTTTCGAGTGACTGTTCATGGGCGGTTCACGGGATCATTCATCTATAGTTCGAGGGACTCCGAGTACGATCTACACCGACTCGTCTTCTTCCGCTTCAATTCGGAGTCGGTAACGATCAAATCCAAACCAACAATGCTTCTTATTGTCCCTAGGCGATCATAGGTCAATTTTTTTTGTTTTCCACTACGTTTCCCAACATGACCCATGTGCCGGATCTATCGTACATGTAATTCCAGATCCTAAGGCTGAAATAGCTAGAGAAGAAGAGATGAAGTCAGTAACACATTACACATTGTTATTGCTCAAAGGAGCAGTGAACAAAGAGAACATGCCTGCAATGGATACTAATTTTCCTACCATCATTATTGTAGATTTATGGATGGTTGAGCCTTTGAAGGCAGAATCCAACAACAAATAATACAAGTTTTCCCTTGACATTAGCTTTTGCCCCTCTTTTTTTTTGAAAAAGGAGGATTGCCCCCGGCCTCTGCATCAGAATGATGTATATAAATACATCATCTATACTAATTCAACATTAGAAAACAAGCACATGACCTCACTTTATATAGATAAATCGACGAGTTCCACAAGAACACGATTATCGAATACAAAGGTTCAGCAAGCAAAAGCGAAATAGTTCGGGCAGGGGCGGCAGCATAGGTAAGCCCGATATAAAGAAAAAGAAAACAAGCTACGGAGCCGGCCGGAGCAGGAAACAGGTGAGCCACCCTCCGGAGGCCAAGAAGGAGCCCATCCAACCCGCCGCGATCCCGACGACATGCAAACATCCGCCATGGCTACTAGTTCAACATCCCTGAACTGAAACGGCCACATCCCTTCATTTTATTGCATCCATCCGATTATTAATTTCTTCAAACTGCATGCCATGCATCCAGCCTTGGATTATTTGTTCGAACATAGCACCACTTCGTTCTCCATCATACGGAAACGGAAGTAACTGTCACCGTTGCGTTGTTATTGGTAGTCTTAAGCAAGCGTTTTGGGACGGAGTTGAACTTGGCGAACCACTTGGCCGACTTCTTGAGCTTGCGCTTGTTGCCGTCCTTCTTGTCGATGTAGACGAGGCCGAATCGTGAGCTGTAGCCCAGGCTCCATTCAAAGTTGTCGATCAGACCCCACGTGAAGTGGCCCCGCACGTCCGCGCCCTGGCTGAAAACACAGATACATACATGAAAGCGCGCTTAGCAAGAATTCAACAATGTGTCTGTGTGTATGTATACATGTGCATGCATGGTAACGTACATACATTTGAGTAATCAGTGTGCCATTAGGGTATGTATGTATGTATGTATGTATGTGGGTAAGAGTACAAAATAAGTGAAAAAAAGAGGTAGGGTTTTAGCATCTGTAGTTACTCTATTGCGTCCTTGACGGCTGAGATGTGGCGCTGGAGGTAGTCTAGCCTCTTCCAGTCATCCAAAGGATCTGTCATGGTTGGGTCGCTGTCCACATCAGCAATTCCTGCACACACACAAGTTAAGAAGTAATCTATCACACTTCCTCCAAAAAAAACCTCCCATGAACCGTTACATCATATCCATGGATTAGGTTCTTGTCTGATTTAAGGGAACTAGTACCAAGATTGCTTACACATTAGTGTGTGTTAATCTTCATGAGGATTAGTGTAATGAGGATCATGGAAATTTAACTAGTTACTTTTGATGTCAGATTTTCAACCTTTTTATTAACTAGAAACTACCTAAGCAACCCCTTGACAAAAGGTTTACAGATTTGCTGTAGGTCAACTAAAGTTTGATATGAACCGATGATTGATC